GTTTCCAGGTCACTCGTCTTATACAGCTTCTCATGTTAGCTTTCCTCCGCGTTTCGACCCATCTTTTCAGCATATTGATATCTACATGTATGAAATGAACGGTTAGATTGATGGTTCTGTTGTTTAGTGACAATGTTTGATTTTGTACTGCTGGAAAGCTTTGAACTGTCTGTCCCCCTTGCCCTTTGTACTCACGTCATTGTTAGTGCCGAACATATATCCACACGCACGCGACATTGTGGTCTGAATTTGTGTCCAGCTCGATATATATACGAATTGGCGGAGACAGCAGAGGCTTTCGATTCCTTTCATACTGGTCTTGCACAGACTTATTCATACATTCACTTTTTCTGACCAATATCCCCCGCCTCCCGAGAACTTTGGTGCACTGGGAATACATGCGATATGCTATTGTTCCTGATTTTCTCTCTTCGTTTCACCCCCATTGTAGTCAAACGAATCGCTTGTCGGTAAACAGTACTTACATGATGCATTTGTCGTGCAAAGGAAGCGTAAGCTACCAAGTTAGACATACTGGACGGCTGTTTCGATCTGGTTGGATCTCATCAACAATGCAAACCCCGAACCTCACAGGTAGGACGCAAGCATGCTTACCGTTTGACCACCGGACAGCTGATCAGACAGTTTTCCTTTTGGGCTTTATACACTATGACACAGCCCATCTTTGCGAACCTAATACAGGCATCGGACCCCGCGTATCTTAGCACTAGCCTCGAAACAGCTGACCGGTGCGTCTTATCTGTTCAGCTGACGCTTTATTTACATGACTAATTCATCATGTAGTGAAATCCAATTCTCTGCCACTATCATACAGCAAGATTGACTAAATTTGTAAAGTATTGCTGGATGCCTTTGTGTTTGTAACGGGACCCAAACGATTGCATCACTGCTTGAGTGCAGTTATAAACGCTGATTGATAAAGGTGAATTGACCAAAAGAAGTAGTAGTTGGTTGTATTCATCCACATAGATTGCTCCGATGGATACAGGACAGGTAAGTGGCGGGTCACGGTGACCAAAGTAGCCTCCCGTTTACTTAATCTACAATGGGAAATAATTGCGAGGTCGTCGTGCGGAGTGCTTTAAGATACAATCTGGCTCTGACTCGCTTACTCAGGTACCACTAGGCGAAATCAATGGCGTTGGCTTGTACACCCCTTTAGAAGTAGTATGGCTATCTGTTAGACCGCTGTTGAGAACGCAAGGATAACACTATCTTTTCTAAATTAGTAGTTTTCCGATGCAGGAACTTGGTAACTTGTTGCTACGTAACCCGTGTGAGGAGTGTATATCACTATTCTGGAGTAAACAGTTATGCAATTCCATAGTCGAAAAACGATTGCATAAATAGTAGGATGAAGAGTTTGATTCTGATCTTCGTCAGATTGTTAGCCGCAGAGGAATTCTACAGTTTACCGCAAGGTACAGGTCTCCACGATTGAGTGTTGTGTCCTACCAGTTCGTTTTTGGAGATTGATGGTGTTACGCAGCGGACGATCGACCAGCAGTCGCAGTTATTCTTGGCCTTGGGATGTTTATCTCAGTTGACCAGGAGACCGTATTCAATCCCTTTTACGTAAACGAACGATCCATGCTTTTAATCTGTTTAAGTCATTGTCATATAGGAACACTGAATGACGTCGTGAGAAACTAATTGTTGGCGAGGCGTGTATGCGCATTGTTTATTCGAGGTTGTGATCATCGTACTCGAGAAGGAGGACAGACGAAGCATCAGGTGATCTTAAAAGTCATTATTTTTGGCCAGTGGGCATAGTAGTTTATGCGTATGTGCGCTAGCGGCTACCCTCGATTCCGAAATTGGCTGTTGTGATGCCAGGTTTACGAGCTAAGGGAACCAATCTGTCTGTGACTAGTGCCTCATCCAGTTATGATTAGCTTTGTCAATCGTGCTCACTCGCGTTGATAGATGCACTGCTCGAAGGGTGAGTGGATATGTACTGGCATTACAAGTCAAGGCAAACTACATAAGCTTTTTGCACCCGAAGGCTTCAGGCCACACAGCTATCTACTAATGTCTTGTGGTTATAAACTGTTGATTGTATGCGCAGTGGAGAAATGAGAATTCGAAATAAATCTATGATACTAATCTGGTGGAGTCTGAGAGATACTGATCTACTGGTATATACTACGTTCGCTGTCGGGTTTATATAATAAGTATGGTACGAGACAAGTTCGTCCTAATACGCTTTGAGACTTTGTCCAATACTTTGAACTCCATGAAGTTTGCTCATAACTCGTGACAAACGTCCAATATCAGAAACTAGAACCCTGTTGAAGAGGTCGGAATGCTTACCGACCCAGAGAATGAATAAGGGCGTTTGTATTTTTCAGTTCGCTCCGGGTCACTGCCCACTCTTGTTCAGGTTCAACTTCGCATACAGCTCTCGACGAACGGCAACTGGTCGCTCCATTTAGACTAGTACTGTAACTTTATGTATCACACAACAGTAAACTATCGTGCGGTTAGCTTTGTAAAAATTGTTATTTTTGTTGATGTAGTTTGATGTCACTGCTTATTTCATTCACAATGGCCAAATATGTTTTCCCATCATCCCTCATCGGATCCAGCTGTTAGTGCCGCTTATGGCCTAGAGCTAAGATGTGAGCTCAGGATTCTCCAAAGTGACAAAGAAAGCAAACGGTGGACGTGTGGTGCATTCGGTAGGGAAAATGTCATAAGTATTCGAGCCTGAAGCCTGTTGGAGACTTCGTTTCTCTCCGGAGTAGTTTTTATGCTAGAGAAAATGTTACAAACCCCGATTGGCCAGAAGCAAGCCAG